TTAGTAAAAGATGTGATTCTTCTGAATCTAAACTTTACTGATTTTGATGTATGTGTAGATTGTATTAAGGGTAGACAAACTAAACGCACAAAGAAATGAACCAGAATAAGTACATAGCTTCTTGAAATTATTTGTAGACCTTCTGGTGTTCCATCTTTTGGAGGAGAAAAGTATTTTATCGCCTTTATAGTTAATTTTTTATGTTATGGATATACCTATTTGTTGTATGAAAAATCTCAAGCGGTGGGTACTCTTAAAGTATACATAAATGAGGTTAAAAAACAACTAGATAGAAAGTGAAAATCATAAGGTGGTGAATATTATGTAAAGTATGATGAAACATGTTAATACTCTAACCGTTTGTTAAACTCCTTGAAATGTATGCCATTTGTGTTCAATACACTTTGCTATACATGCCACAGCAGAAGCGTGTAGCTGTAAGGCGTAATCGTACTCTTATGGAATTGGTTAGGAGTATGTTAAGTAATTCCTCGTTACCCATAATGCTGTGGATATTAAGTAATCTAAAGGGTACAAGTTTTACTATCCGAAACATAGTACGATAATTATTGAAACCGGTAATGTCAGATTCATTAAGAATGGTGAAATCAGTGGGAGTGATAAAAATAAGAATTTGATCATTTCAGAAGTTAGGGTACAAATATCTTTACCCATAACTTATAAGGAAATAATTGTTCCTTCAGTTGTTGAACCGTATAACAACGAAGAACAATTAAATGATCAACAACTCTATAATGAGATTGTCACCAATGAATAGATTGTAGAAGAATCATAAGGAATAACATTAAGACGATCTCAAAGAGAAATGAGATCTGCTATTCCGGATGACTATGTGATATATCTGTAAGAATATGATTTTGATATATAGTAAAATATATACGGATCCGGTTACATATTCACAAGCCATTAACAGTAATGATTTTACTAAATGGATTAGTGTCATGAATGAAGAGATTATAAAGAAATCTTCTATCTAGTATTTAAGAAGGAATCTTTTAAAATATCATGGCATTAGTAGCTTATTATGATTTAGAGTTACATCAAATGAATGTGGATACAATTTTTATGAATAGGAGTTTATAAGAGGAAGTCCATATGAAACAACTTGAAGACTTCATATTAGAGGGTAAAGAATTCATGGTCCGTAAATTTAAGATGTCAATATATGAATTTAAACAAACTTCCTAACAATGGTATATTAAGTTTAATGATACCATTATTTCTTTTAGTTTTAAGAAAAACACTGTTGATCAGTGTATAAACTAGAAGGTTAGTGAGAGTAAATTTATATTTCTGATTCTATATATTGATGATATTTTATTTGTTAGTAGTTATCTTAGTTTATTATATGAAACTAAAAGTTATCTCTAAGAACTTTGAAATGAAATATATGGATGAGGCATCCTATGTGACAGGAATAGAAATATTTCATTATAGATCATATTGATTTGTTTTTAGAATTGTCTCATAAAGCATATATTGAAAGAGTTCTAGAAGATTTGGTTGGAGGAACAATATTATGAAAAAGTGCAAAGTAATTTATGATTACTTTGTCTATTATGAAATTTTAATTTGTAGCATGCTTTGAGGCTATAATTTATGGTTGCAGAATTTATTTCAGGACTTGGAGTTATGGGTACCGTTTTCAGATTGCTGAAAATTTATGCTGCAATTGTTGATCATCTTGTATGAAAAATGATAGGTATTCTAAAGTTGAAATACTTTATCATTAAAGAAGATATTTAGAAACAACGAATGTCTACTGAAATTATAAGTACACAACTTATGATTGCAATCCATTAATGAATGGACTACCATTCAAGACATTTATGGAACATGTGGAAAAAATGGGTCTTAAATGTAGTCAATGATGATTATTTTTTAATTGTAGATTGCTTAAATAGTGCTTATATATATTTGACATTTTGCGCTGATTAAATGTGTTTCTGATATTTCCTATTAATTAATGTACATGTACATATTGCTTTAATAAGTGGTAAGAGGAATAATCTTGGAAAAGACATTATTATTAGATCATTATTGATACTTTTCATTTATAGACTATATTGAATAGATTACTAGTGTTGTGGTACATGGAAGGGACTGTGTCATTTAAGGACATACAACCGCCATGACTCACATTGGTAGTTTATTTACCATAGTATTTATGATGACCAACTTAATACCTTAATTTGATTTATGGTGCACACTAATGACTATTTTACTAAACCACTACAGAAGTTATCATATGTGTCAAGTGGGAGAATGTAGGATTATTTATTTAATTGTGGCCCACATGATTTGGACATGTAACATATTACTTGGTGGCTAAGTAAATAGATATCAATTAATATTATTTATTTATGGTCAACTTATAATTACCTTTTTGGTAATTACTTATTGGAGAAGCGTTTTCCTTTCTTATTTCTTACTTTGATGGAAAGTAGAATTATGTTACTAATAGGAAAACTGGTCCTCTCTCTGCCTTTATAAAAGTGCATATACTCCATCAATTATGTACAATTAATGAAACAACACATAAAAGTTTTATGTGTGCAAAAGGCCAAGAGAGAGAAACTAGTTTCCACCTTTGCCTGTTGATCAGAGTTGCAGATTAGTTCGTGATCAAAGGATCTGGACGTTGGACTTAATCTCAACAAGAATTGATATCGTGAATCGAGGTATTTATATCTAACTAGTATTTATTTATGCATTATAGATATGTGAAAATCATGAAGTTCTAAGATTATGGGATTCATGTTTATTTGTGATGAATGGTTTAACACGAATAATTATAGTTTACACTCTGCACTTGTGAACCTTATGAACAGGGCGGCGCACAACTATGCCAAGCTACTTCTTATCTTTAAGGATCTTCCTTCTTGCTCATCATCCGGCAACCTGCAGGAGATTCAAATTTCAAATATCTGTCATCAGAAGTCACATCAGCAAGGGGAGACATGTGCTTTTTCTGACCTTCCTGCCAATGAGATTTCTTGCGATAATATCCTTTCCCCTCTTCCTCTCACTGAGGGTGGACCCATCACACAAGTCCCTATGGACCGACCACTTCTCACCATGTGCTAGAAGGTTGAAGCTTGATTGGGACTTGCCGGCGTTCATCGAACCACCACCTGAGCCGCCGGATCGACTTGATTAGGGTGTCGTACCCTTGTGTTTTTACATCGGAAGTTTGTATGCCTTAGACAAGAATAGTCTAATGCCATGGACTAGAATTGTCTTTGTAGCTTCCGGGGGCCTTCTTATGCTTTTGTTGGACAATGTCTTTGTCCAAGCCCTTTTGAGTGGGCTGTCCACTCTTTGTGGGCCTATCACTCCTTGTATATATTGCAGTAATCTATAAAATTATCCTTACTTTCCAAAAAAAAAAAAAAAAAACATAGTCAATAAGGTCACTGTTAAGATTAATTAGCTCCAGATCTTATGTTTAGCTAGAAATACCTTCGAGAAGCAACTTTACCTTTAACGTCAAGCCCATTTTCAAAATTATACATATGCATTTATACATAAATATATTTATTTAAATTAAGTATAAATTATAAATCACATAATGCATTTATGCATGTGTGTATAGCCTAGACGGTAATACATTTATGTCAAGAATTAGAATTGTGAAGAAAAAGGGAAAAAGGGTTGGGAAGTAAGGAAATTTAACAAAAAAAAAAAAAAAAAAAAAAAAAAAAAAAAAAAAAAAAACCAGAAGAAGAAGAAGAAGTAGAAAAATAAGTCACATCTTGTACTAGATGTATAATATGATCTCATGCCATACGTGCCTAGATAAAATACACATTTTATTGTAATTTTTAAAGGCAAACGAGAGAATTTCTAAAAGAAATGTTAAGTACACGCTTTTCAAAAAGAAATGTAAGCACCCATGTAATTCGATATGATTGGCAAAACGAAGCATTCAACCATTAAAACAAGAAATTTTATTAATCATCTTATGTTATCCATGTTAGGCGTCATAGCAAAATGGTGGCAGATGAAGTGGCTACTCTATGAAAATTATCTCCTTACTAATGTTGTTTTTTTGTTTAGATTTTAGGCTTCATTTGAATAAATAGGAGGGAAAATAAAAGAAATAGTAATATTATTTATGAGAGAGAAAAAAAGAAGAGGAAGAAATAATAACAGTTATGAGATAAAATAAAAAAAATTAAAAATAAAAAGAAAAAGGAAATGAAATGATAGCATTATTTATGATTGAGAAAAAAAAAAATAATATAAATAATCTGTATTTATGTTTGGATAAATTATGAAGAAAAAAAAATATATAATATTCTTATTTAGAAAAGGTAAATGAAAGAAAATAATAGAGAATAAATGAGAATAACTTATTATCATGATAGGGTAATTTGCACGGACCTTTCCTATGATTTATTTTAATTACAGGCGGCATCCTTCTTGTTCTGGAAATTACGCAGACCTCTTTTATTTTTTAAAATATTCTACACAGACTTTCCTTTCGTTACGGTCAACGCCAGTCAACGATGGAAATGACATTAGCTACTATTTTTCATTGAATATCCTTTCCTATATTAAAATGAATATATATATATATATATTTTCCAGATCCTACGTCATCCATGGTCAATATGTTGCCACATCATCTTCATCTACTAAAGCTTCTGGTTATTCAGTGGTGATGGCGGCAAGGATCTGCAACGGCGACGGGTTGTGGTGGTGGGTTTGCGACGAAATTCACACCCAATCATATCTTTCTACTAAGCCCACCATTTTTAGTCCGAGAACGAAGGTAAGTTTATGAATTGAACTCGTATATATTTTTTCTATACTGTGTTTGTCTCTTTTTTCTTATAGTTCTAACCCTGTTCTCTCTCCTCACACCAGCTATTCTACACTCTCCAAATCAAACCATAATGGAGAATCAGAGTCAGCCCCCAAGCCGCCGCTGCCGTTCCCCAACCCCCAGCCGCCACCGTCCCTCCCCAGCCCCCTCTCGCTGCCTTCAACCCGACTCTTCTCCCTGTCACCTGTGGATGCGGCAGTAAGATTCAAATCATGTTCCCGTACGGTGCTCATTATGGGGTCACATGCCAGAGGTGTGGTGACTATTTTCACTTCGGCATCCCAGCAAAATTCGAAACAGAAATGAATTTTACATACAAAGTCATTGTGGTGGTGGGTTTAAGACGGCCAGGCTGTGAGACGGAGAGGGCGAGGATCTCTGCGACGGCGACGACGAGGATCTCTGAGACGGCGACGGCGAGGATCTCTGAGACAGTGAGGCTGTGTGAGATGGCGAGGATCTGTGAGACGGCGAGGGCGAGGGCGAGGATCTGCGAGACGATGAGGCTGTGAGGTTTGTAATAGTAGATGAAAGTTGCTCCAAATTGGGTTCCATGAGTAGTTGGGTAACATTAGAAAATGGTATATAAGATGAGCTTAATGTGGTACAAGCCGCAAGAATGGGTGTCTGAAGAAGTTGAACCAATTGGTTTTGGAGTACTGGGGCATTGCCATATTGATTTTCTTGATCACCTTGGAAATGAAAGTTCTGATTTTCGTGTTCAGACAATAGAAGAGAAATATTATTGTCCAGCCTTAGCAATTCTGGATTAACTTGGCGGGATTGGACACCGAACAAATTGATGTGAGATGAGCTTAGAAGAGGAATGTGAGTGACCGGATCGATTCCCCTTCGGAGAAGCATTTTTCTAATGTGGGTGTTCCAGTAGTTCTTGATTTCGTTGTCGGTCCTTCCAGGCAAATGAGATGCAATGGCAGACCACCCGTACCAAAACAAAAAGAAACCATTAATACAAAATTTAGCTTTTGACCAAAATATATATATATATTTATTTATTTATATGAGTATTTTAGTCATTTATCATAGAAAATTGAGGGTATTTCAGTAAATTTGAAGTGTCTGTTAGTGTATTTGATGGTCAGTCCGCGTAATTTTCAGAATAGGAAGAGTGCTGCCTGTAATTAGGGCAAACCATAAGAAAAGTCTACGTAAATTATCTTAAGAGATAAGACTCAAGTGCAATGGAGTATCTAGGGTTGGGTTGGGCTCCAGCCCACCCAAAAAAAAAAAAAAAAAAAAAATAATGTTTATTACTATGGGTAATTTTAACCCAACAAATATATATATATATATATATATATATATATATATATATATATATTATTAGTTTTAGCTTATCCAAACAAGTCCAAATCAGTTAAGCCAAAATGCTAAAATAAAGGCCTAAGCCAAACAAACCCAAGCTAGACAAGCCCTAATAAAAAATTTTGCTTAACAAATTGTGTTATTAAATTCATGTTTAATTTTAATCTACCCCATTGATAATTTAATCCGCCCGTAATAGCAAGATTCCCTTTTTAATTATTAAGGGCAGCATCAAGATTATGAAAGTAATCCCTCTATCTCAATTTAAATGTCTTTTTTTTGGGGGATCCACCCGTAATAGCAAGATTCCCTTTTTAATTATTAAGGGCAGCATCAAGATTATGAAAGTAATCCCTCTATCTCAATTTAAGTGTCTGTTTTTGGGGGGGGGTGATGTGATGATGTTTTGTTTTTATAAATTCAATGTAAAAAGGAATCTTCCTTGCCAAAAAGAAAGAGAACTAGTAAAGTAGGATTTTCTTATTAAAAAAAACGCTTAGTATAATTTTATCACAATTTTTAAAACAATCACCGGTTGTTATATGTTCTTCCTTTGTATTATGTATTTTCTTCTCCTTGAATGTTAGTTCCTCAGGTTGCGGTTAAAAAATAAAAAAATAAAAATAAAAAATCACTGTGGTTGACTGGTTAGTTATGGATTTATACGTCTCATTGAGGGTGCAGGTTGGCCACTGATTTATAATGCAATAAATTTGGGTAGAGACGTGGAACACATACGGCCATATATGTATCACACTTTTTCAAACAATCACCAGTTGTTAAATGCTCTTCTTTTCGTTCATGTATCTTCTTCTCTTTGAATGTTAGTTCTTCCTGTTGTGGTTAAAAAAACCAAATAAAAAAAAAAAAAAAAAATCACTGTGGTTGACTGGTTGGTTATTGATTTATACGTCTCATTGAGGTTGCCGGTTGGCCACTGATTTATAATGCAATAAATTTGGGGAGAGACGTGGAACACATACGGCCATATATGTATTTATCGCTTTAATGAATCCGGTCCATAAGTCATTAAAAATATTCTCACCAATAAAAGATATTTCGTGAACTCGAAACAATTTGTTTTAAGAGGCCTCGGTTTTAAGTTTTGTACGCCAATTTGTGATTTGGAAATAAATTTGTACAAAATGTATAAATTTAATTTTTGTAATTCACAAATTTATTTTTTTAATTCGCAATTTTCATACGAATTCACTTTATATAACTAAATTTGTTAGATATAAAACACCTATATTACTATATATACATTTAAAACTTTCACTATTACTCAATATATATACATTAAATACTATAATATATATATATATATTAATTATATATGCTTAAAAATATACTGCTAAAAAACTTCCCAATATATAATATTACAAATAAATCATGCATTTATTAGTGAAAAAAGTTACTTATTTATTACATATATCATTAATGGAATAAATAATCATGAATATATTTGTATATGGATTTAAATAAATAAAAATATATAAAATATATATGTCATGACCTAATATAATTTTATTTAAACCTAATATACAAACGCTCTCAAGACGCTTCCGTTCTAAAAAAAATTTAGACTTTCGCTCCTGCTCTACGTGACTTAGTCAATAAAAATGAACCGAGTTTGTTGAGAGTATCTGACAATTTGTTGAGAGTATCTGACAATATTGCTTTATATATTTATTATTATTATTACTATTATTTATTTTGTTTGTGATTTAGCAAATTAAAGTTTCTTTTTTATATGATCAAATAAAATATGAAAAATATATATATATATATATATATATATATATATATATATATATATTTGTATTACTCTTTCATAAAATAAATATTATTAAAATAAAATGTTTGTGACTAAAATAAATAAGATAAAATGAGAAATACTTTTTATCTCATGCTACTCTCTTGATACATAATATAATATTTTAATAAAAAGAACAGAAGAAAAAAATTATATCGGCCAAGGTAGTCTTCTTTTTCCTCTAAAATGAAAACAAACCTAGTTGGCGCCAAGTGTGAAGGAATGCTAGAGTAATTTGTCCTTCAACCACGTTAAAGGATCCCAATGAGGCAGCTCATCCAATGAATATTGTATGTATGTAGCTAATCCTATGGTATTGTATGTACATCTCTATACTAAATAATGCTATTGAAGTTACTATTTCAGCATATTAAATTATTGTTCAATATACTTATTTCGAGTTTCAAAATAATTATATTAAAATTTTAAAACTCAAAATACAAATGTTGAAATCTCCATTTTTAACAAATTAAACATGATTTAAGACAATTATTTCAAAGGCTGAAATAATGATTTTGAAGCCTACTTTCAACACAATTATTTATAATTTTAAAACCATTACTTCAAACTTAAAATAATGAGCCACGACACCGAAATCCATACAAGAGGGATCCTAAAGATGCATGAAAAAAAGTTAAAGAATAGCTCAATCTATAATTTATTGGCACGGAGCCCAATTTAAGTCAAGTGTCGAGGTTCTACCCTAATTCACCATATTGGTTAGTTTGTAGGGTTGAATATTATTATACACTTGTATAGGCTCTCCGATTATGCTAGTTTATAGAGATATTTGTCTGAATTTGTTACACTACGCTACTGTGAAGCATGGAGTCCACGCAACCAACCTATGTTGAACTCGGCATTGTGTTAGCGAAAGAGTACCATTTGGGTGCACTGGAGGGGGCTCGGCATTGTGTTACATAAACAATACTGGTGCACAGGGAGTAGTTGTTGGGTTCGGGTAGCTATGGTGTGTGTGGTTGACTGGTTGGTTTAACTTCAAATAAGAAAACAATGTCCACCAGCTATGTTGTCTAGATATATATATATACACTCCGTGTCTCATTCTTTTTATACCTGTCCTCTTTTTTTAGAGCAAAAACATTCCTTTTTCCTGAGCTTAGCACCAAAACTTGACAGAAACCAATCAAACAAAAGTATGTCAACAGTAGTTCCAAAGAAGCAACATGTTGGTGTGCTTGCATTCCCGTTCGCCTCGCACACCGGTATCCTCCTTGTTCTGACGCGGAGTTTAGCGGCTGCTGCACCACACGTGACCTTCTCTTTCTTCAGCACTGCAAAAGCAAACCAGTCGTTATTCTCGGCCCCGATGCCAGAGAATATCAAACGCTATGATGTATTCGATGGGGTGGCAGAGGGCTATGTGTTCTCAGGTAAGCCAGAGGAGGATATTGAGTTGTTTCTAAAGGCGGTGCCAGAGAATTTTAGGAGAGGGATGGAAGCAGCGGAGGCGGATATGGGAAAGCGGATTAACTGCTTGATATCTGATGCGTTTCTGTGGTTTGTGGGGGAGATGGCGGAGGACATGCATGTCTCTTGGCTGCCACTTTGGTTCTCCACGCCTTGTGCACTCTCCGTACATGTTTACACTGACCTCATCAGGCAAAGTGTTTGCACTAGTGGTAAAATATATTCAACAAGCCTTTTTTTTTTAATTTTGTTCATTTTTTTAAGGGAGAGTATATATATTCATATAAAATTATATATATATATATATATATATATATATATATATATATATATATTTTGAGCCAATCAACTTTGTTTTCTGTCATTATAACTCTAAAAATTCATTTCACATTGATATCATCTTATTTCTCTCTTGAGAAGGAATATAGGCATGAGCTGGGGTCCAGTGGAGAATATATTCTGTGTGCTCAGTGCATCGAGTTATTAGAGTCGTTCGTGCCTGCGTATGTTGTGCACAGACGATTTTGATGTACCCGGTACACCGGGCACACCAAAAATCCTGGCACATTGCTTGGGTGAGAGAAATGTAAAACTTATATGTGATGGAGCTTTCTCAAAGTGGTACGAGATCTTTAAGAGTAAAATTCATGAGTAAAATCGTGCGGGGTTACTCTCGGGTCCAGGGTTGACAACATCATACCATATGATAAAGTGAACCTCCGTATTGTGAAGTTTCTTGGTGTAATCTAGTGTTTCTTAATTCATAGATTAAAGTCTAATAATTATATACTTTGTATCAATGTATATAAATGTAGGTACAGATGTTGCAGGACGTGAAGATGAAATTGTGACTTTCCTTCCAGGATTTCCTTCATTACGCCTTGGTGACTTGCCTAATGGAGTGGTCATGGGAAACTTAGAAGCTCCCTTTTCAATTCTGCTATATAAAATGGCACATGCTCTTCCACGAGCCACCGCGGTTATCATTAACTCCTTTGAAGAAGTAGACCTCCTTCATACAAATGATCTCAAGTCCAAGTTTCAGAAGTTCCTCAGTGTAGGACCTTTCAACTTCACATCGCCTTTACCATGGTCGAACAGGGATGAGCATGGCTGTCTAGCTTGGCTGGACAAGCACAAAGCCGCGTCCGTGGCATACATTGGCTTTGGTACCAGGGCAACACCTACGCCTAAAGAGGTAGGGGAATTGGCCGAGGCACTTGAAGCAAGTGGTACTCCATTTCTTTGGTCTCTTGGGGACAATATGACAAGGCACTTACCAGAAGGATTCTTGGGGAGGACAAGCACTGGGATTGGAAAAATAGTGGCATGGGCACCCCAGGTACACGTCTTTATTTTATTTTGTTTTTTATTCTAAGTTAAGTACTCACAAGCTTTTGCTCATGTCCATACTCGAACCCCTCTCAGGTACAAGTGTTGGAACATCCTTCTATTGGAGTTTTTGTGTCGCATTGTGGATGGACCTTGGTGTTGGAGAGCATTGCCGGTGGTGTGCCAATGATCGGGAGGCCAGTCTTTGCAGAGCAGCAATTGAATACATGGATGGTCGAAAACTTGTTGCAAATTGGAGTGAGGGTTGAAGGCGGGGTCTTGACTAAAAGTGGTACAATGCATGCTCTGGACCTGATTCTTAAGAATGAGAAAGGGAAGAAATTAAGGGAGCAACTTGGGGCGTTCAAAGAGCTTGCTCTCAAGGCTGTTGGACCAAATGGGAGTTCAACTCGAAATTTCAAGACCTTGCTCGAGTTGGTCACCAAGTGACAATCTCTAAAACTATGTTTGGTCAAAAGGAAGATTCTTCCTTTTGATTCGGGCCACCACGTCCTTGAAATAATTAATGTTTATGGGATATTTGTTGTGTTTTGATTAGGAGTCAATGCCATCTTAGATTGCTAAGATTTCAATAAGTGAAGTTACTTTCAGTCTCTATGGGATAAGAGAGATTTTTTTTTTTTAGGAAATGAGAGATTTTACACGGTCACCCATTATTAAATTGAATTCTCCCACTAATAATGATATCATATCAGTGATTGGTGGGTGTGCAGTACCTCTACTTTTTTGAAGAGAATTTTTATTCATAATAAGATAAAATTTTATTAAAATCTTGAGTTGAGTAATACATCATTTACCTCTCTAACACAGATAGGGTGGATTTCGTTCTCTTACTGAATGCATGTGTTAAGTTTAGCTACCATGAAAAAATAAAAACAAAATGGCTTAAAATTTTTGGAGTTGTTGATTGTTAATATAATGCCCAAGTTAAGCAGAATTTTAGGTACCGCTTAATATGTCATTTTATATAAACATATTAATTGATAATTAATCGAATTATATCGAATCAGAAGAAAGATTTTGGACTTAATTTTTGTAGCGATTTTGGGTTCGATTCCCTTCTCTTGAGGTCAAATATTTATATAAGATAAAATTAGTCTCACCTAAAAAGTGAGTATACCCGTCTAATCACAAAACATCACACTTTTGTAACTTCTAGCTTTTTAAAGATTTAGAACCCAAATATCCCTATCATCCCTATTCATATTCCATGTTTAATCATACAGATTAATATTGTAGAACTATTTAATACCAAATTGAATAAAATAACATAAAGGGTAACATAAAGGGTTCATGTCTCTCCAACAGTATTGTATAAATTGTTTGAAAATAAAAAAATAAAAAACGAGAAAGAGAAAAAAGTGGTAATTAATTTTCACCATTGCATCAAGACAATGAATTTTGGGGACAATGTGGCTAGTGTTCTTTCATTAGCCACGATTCCATATATTTCTAACTCAAATGTCTCCTACAATGTGCAATGTATACATACAGTGAATGAAATTCTAATTGTTACTGGAAATGTAAATTAATTCAGTAAAACGACGTTGATTATTATCTTATAGTAGGAACTTGGAAACCCACTAGACTATGTAACTGCTAGTGTTTCATATCCCACTTCCCCCTATAAATTAGTAGTATATATGCAAGGCTTAACCATAATCTCTGTATCAAATCTCCCTCCACTCTCTCTCTCTCACTCTCGCTCTAAACATCTACTTTCTCTCTCATGGCGGAAAGATATAAGATGATTGTTTTTGGATTGGTAGATGCAATGCCAATAGGTGGGGTTGTGATGCCCAGTATTAGTAAGAGGCAAGTGGAAAAGACATCAAAGAGCATGTACAAGATCGAGCAAAAAGGGAGGTTGTTCAACACAAATGAACAAGAAGCACAAGTCAAAAGAGTTGGTGGACAAACCCACTGGACGTGTGGGGTGCAAACAAGAGGTGGAGTTCACATCCACCGTCAAGTTTAATGACACGGTTCAAGGATGTAGCAGTGAGTGCAAGACTCAAGTCAAGTTTAAGAATAAGAAGGTCATCAATGTCAAAAGGGGCAAAACACAGAACAAGCGTACCAATCACAATTAATTTACTTCCTTTTTAATTACTTATGGAGCTGCTAAGTGCTATGTTAGGGCCTATCTCTTTGTGAGTATTTGAAATCTGAGTATTCGTGTTGGTAATTTGTAATCACATCTTTATGAATTATGAATTATTCCGACAATTCAGCGGCTTTTTTAGTGCAATCATATCCATGTAGAACAATAAATCAGATCATTAAAAACAGAGTATTAGTTGCTAAATAAAAATCTTTATGAATGTATATTAAACGAATTATATAATATCTTGATAAAATGCAAAGTATATCTCTTTTACATTTCCTTTTACAGCTCCGTACAAAGCACACATTAAAACTATATTTATTAAAAATTCATTATTTAGTGTGATGTCCTTTTATCCTTACTAAATAATGCTCCAAGAATTAAAGGAATACAAATGTAGATACTGAGGCTTTCAAGCTTGTATGGGTCTGGCCTGGCCATGTTTACTATAATATATATATTAAATTTATATATTTTTACAAAATTCATATAATACCTTCCGTAAAAAATTTTATTTTTTAAAATTATCTATTAAATTTAGTATTTTTTTTCTCTTTTTAACTCTTTAAATTCGTTTAATTTCCTTTAAAAAAAAAATCAAATTTTCTTTTTTGAGTTGATTTATAAAATCTATATGTATTGTCTTGATTTTATATATATATATATATATATATATATATATATATATATATATATTTACACTATGCCCCCGAAATTTAATTTTTGGCTCCACCCCTGCTTCTAAGTAAATAAATAACCAAATTCAGGAGCCGAACTATAAAAATAGAATAAAATAAATAATAATAACTCAATACTCGCTGAGACTTTTTTCACTGCGGGCACCGAACTAGTACTATGTGATTAAAAATTAAAAAGTTTAAAAATAAATATAATTTCTTAATAATATTGTTCTTATTAGTATGCATGTTGAGAAAAATAAAATCCAAGACTTGACAAAAATGAATCTAAATAAATAGGTATGAGAGTATATATGAAAAAAAGAAAAAGAAATAGAGAATATGAAGCAATAAGTTATTGTTGATACCTATGTTGACAAATCAAATGGCGAAGGAGATCATTTGGGTTCAATAGAATGTACCTGTAAAAATTATTGCTAAAGAATGTCTGATGGTGGAAGAGATTTATCATTAAAATATGATAAATTTTATCCATTTGATAAGGACTTTTGGATTTTTATCTAAAGTTTAATCGATAAGGGATTAATATGGTGGTGATACATCAATTACATGTGATTTATGAATTAGGAGAAGTAATTTTAGAAATTTAATTGTAATCCAATAATTTAAATTTAGAAAGTAATTTATTTTAAGACTCTTTTGGGTCCACTACCATCATAATGTTAGTATAATTTAATTATGCGTAGTATAATCAATCAAACTCTCTTTTGAGCTAGTTTCTATTTTTATTCAACTTCTTTAGTTAACAACCATCTTTAGAATCCGCAGAGGCTGCGGATATAAAGGATCAACAGTTATAAATAAAAAGAAGAATTTGTTGAGAAAAAAAAAAAAAAAAATTTGTTCTAGAATTAACTTTTATTCAGCAATTCTTTTAATTTATGAAAAATAAAAATTTAATTACTTTGATTTCACTTTGAGAAAGATGTGTATTTTTATGAAATATTAAGAGAAAAAATATAATAGTTTAACTAAAAAAAATACAATTAGCAGAAATAAAATCGATAAGTACTTTCATAATTTATACAGAGAATAATTATAAAACAACTAAAAACATTAACATATATGATTTTATTTTTATTATTGACATTCTTATCATTTTGGAATCACAATATTTTACATTTTGTTACTTTTTAAAAAAATATGAGGAGATATTAGTGTGATTTTTTTATTCTCTTTATAATTTATATAACGGATATTATGCTTGTATATATATATGTAAATGTTTTTTACTAGACTAAAGAAATTGTCTCTGTTAATCAAATATAGAGAGCTTCATTAAATTAAGAAAGAAGGTATAAGCTATACTAGTACTCCGTAGAATACTCCTAAATACGTACTAGCTTACACCTATGTAGGAAGAAGAAAAGGCCAAAAGGTGATGTGATTATACTTGCTGCAGTTTGCAACACTATTTAAGGTGATGGGACAGCACCTCATGTCAACTCAGCTGATGCAAATGCAGAGCATTGTTGCGTGTGCATGTGTCTAATCCAAATCTAGATCCATTCGAGACGAGTGTTAAAATAAAAAATTCAATTCTGCCTTTTGATGCATAAGTTAAGATTATACTAAACTCTAGAATAATTTTTATCATATTTTAATTCTTTCAACATACTGCTAATTTATCCGCTAATATGGCTAGCATGTTTCTCGCTAGATTTATATGTTTCATTAGCCCTTGCTCAGGGATTCGCGTCTCTGTTAAGTATTTTTTGTGACTACTCTCCAATATTTTTATAATGACTTATTTAGTCTCGTGGGAAGACGCCTTCCTTAACTCTAAAAAATTAGTCATATTGTCGAGGGATTCTAAGAATTTGGGCCTTCTTGAATATTCTGAGGGAAAAAAAAAAAAAAAAAAAAAAAAAAAAACTATTAATTTGTGTGAACAGAGTCTGCCTGATCTCTTATTTTTGCACCCTGTTGGTTGCCATTTAGCTTTATAAACTCAATTTTAAATTATTTGTATTTGTTTTCAATTCCATTTTAGTTCCTATGGTTAATGATTCATTCAATTTTTTGAAAAATGTTTGATTATCACTAATTAAGATGAACTAGAAAATATTGTAAGGAAAACTTATTCCGAAACGATTTGTAATTAGAATTTTAAGTTTTAATTTGATTATTTCTAATTATAACATATTTTGTGGTGTACAGATAGAAGAAAAAATTGCAATGAATGAAAATTATTGTACAGTTCTGGATCAACGATCTCAATTAATTATTATTGAATATATGAGTAAAAAATCGTATCAAATTGATACAAATTCAATGTACAGGGCAGTGATCTTTTACTCCTGTGGAGTAAGAAAAATCTTGGGCACTTTTTATAGTGACTATTATATTCACATTCTAAACTCATATATATGCTTTTTTTTTAGGGAAAAGTACATCCACACCCCTTAAGGTTTGACAAAAAAATACTCAAAGGAAACTTACCTATTTTTTGGACAAAGACACCCCGTAAGGGTTTAAAAATGGACAAAGACACATCTTTACACGAGAAATTGACCAAGCTACCCTTTGACCGTTTAGGAGACTTTTTCAACTTTACAAGTTAATAAATTGGACTAATATACCCTCATAAACAATTTAAAAAAAAAAAAAAAAAACTTTATATTGCTCACCTTTTTTCTTTTCTTTTTTGTTATTTACTTTTTAAATGTCCCAACTTCTTAAAAATGTAGACGTCTAAAATAATTTTTTGATCCAATACATATATTTCAAATAAATTATATTTTGATTTTTTGATCCAATACATATATTTCAAATAAAAATATTAAATTATATATCAAATATTATGTATTTCCCAACATAAAAGGGGAAAAATAATAATAATAAACAAAGGGGAAAAATAATAATAATAAACAAAGGGAAAAAAATAATAATAATAAAACAAAGGCATGTATAAAGTTAAGATGCATACAGTTATATTGGTACCTATGGAGGGAAAAATCTCCCTCCAATGAGAATAATCCACGTCATCATAAATATAAACTTATCCTTGATAAGTTTATAAAACCCACCTCACTCAAACCCAAATTGAGTTTAAGGCTAGTCCAAGATCACTGTTCACAAGCCCAATACTATTGTTATTTGACCTTCAACCCTGTTGAAGCCCGAATCAAGAGATTATCAGCCCAACATGTTAACATTAAACATCCGACCCGTTATTCAAGCCCAACTGGTTCAAGATATATTCATCCCAATTTTCCAATATTGAACAAATCTTATCAGTAGAAGGATTTATCATAAAAGGAGAATTCTTTGATAGGAAGTTCTATACAAGGCAAATTCTGCGTAGGAAATATTATACAATAGAAAGAACTCTATTTGTAAAGAAAGTCATGTATGGGAAGAATTGGAGGACAAGTAACGTGAGTCCTACCTTATTCTACCAATTTTTGTGTATAAATAGAGGCCCAGAACTCCAATAAAAGGATCCAAGCAATTCTACGCTTCTCTATACATTGTTCTTATTTATTTTTACTGTTTTTGAGTGTGTTGTATTATTTTTCTCAATCGTTATTGGTTGAGCGCAATTTTGCACCTACACTTTGGCACCGTCTGTGGGAAACGTGTGCAAATATATTCCTGCTCTTGTTTCAAGTGAATCCTGCAACTACCATCCGGAATGTCGAACGGAGGATCTTCAATAGATCAACAGACAGGGTTGATACAGAGGATGCGTGAAAAGTTTCTACACCAGTTTAACGTACTTCGTAAAGCAAACGAAGCTAGAGTAGCTCAGATCGCATTGCTTCAACAGTAGAATAACACTTTGTAAACGGAGATGGCTCAGTTGGCACCACCGCCACCACCAGGTGATATAGCAGCACCCCCTAATCAGAATATTCCTCCAGTTAACGGGATTCCACCTAATGGGGCACGACCCAACGAGGCTCTGCCAAACGAGGTTCAGCAACAGCAGAGGGCAAGGTCTGAGGCTGTCGCTTCAGACAACGTCCCTCGTCGCATACAGGACAAGCAAGTCGAGTCTAGTTATAAGCTCACGGTGTAGTCCAATGGAATTCCAGATGGTGCTGGTGTTCAAGATGTCTTTGATGAGAAAAGACTCCTGAAGATTCAGACACCCGCTGAGATGGCTAGAGAGCACAAAAACTCCCTAGTGAAAACTCCTTTCACTGACGATGTGTATATGGTTGAGAGGCTCAAGAAATTTACCATGCCTTCTTTTACTTAGTTTGACGGTACGGGAGATCCTTCTTGGCACCTGGATCATTACGCCCAAAAGATGGCTTTGGATGACCGTAATGACCCTTGGATGTGTAGAGTTTTTCCTACCAGTTTAACAGGAGCAGCACTAGAGTGGTTCAGGAATAGGCCACATAAGTCCATCCTGGATTACGTAACTCTGTGCACCATGTTGCTAACACAATACTGCGGAAATAAGAAGCAAAAGAAGAGTATTGCTAGCCTCTTCACTGTAAGGCAAAAGAAAGGGGAAACACTGTAGGATTTCTTATCTAGATTCAACATGGAAGCCTCGGAAATAGCAGACTATCATCCCGCGACTGCTATAGAAACATTTAAACTTGCAATGATTCAGGTGATGAAGTTTCATACTTCCTTGGTCAAATATTCTCCTCCAGACATGCAGACTCTCAATGCAAGGGCCCAGATATACATCTGGCTCGAGGAAAATGTAACCCACCGAGCGCAGCATGCCACCCTCGTGACAGTAGAGAACAAGCCTCGAGAGAGAATTCCAAATTCAAAAATTCAGAAAAGCCAACGCGCCTCAACACCGATCACCCAGGCACCTGAGAAGAGGCAAAGGATAGAGGAAGGGTTTACACCTCTCTGAACTATCTTGGCTCGGCTCTTCCAAGAGAATAAGATGAGGTTCACAGCCCCGCAACCAATGAAGCAACCCTTGGAACAGAGGGACAAAAGCAAGCATTGCGCTTATCATCGAGATTATGGGCATTCAACCAATGATTGCAGATCCCTTAGGCGACAAGTGAAAATATTGATAGCCAGAGGTGAGTTGGCAGATTACCTCGTGACGAAGGAGTATGTGAAGCCCCGCGAGGTCTATCCTCGCAAGGTAGAAGGTACTCAAGTAAAGGTCATTCATGCAATACATGGCAGATCTGAAGATGATCAAGAGTCCGAGGAGGTATACAGATCCAGATTGAGGGCAACCCATAAGCTCAGGAAGATATCCTCGGTCAATGCTATCGCTTCGGGTAGCATCAATATTGGATTCGGCGATGGTGACCTATCCAGAGTTCAATTCCCCCACGAAGATCCATTGGTCATCAGTCTTTTAGTGGCAAATTGCATGATCAAGAGGGTTTTGATAGACCCAGGGAGTAGTGCCAACATCATCACAAAGGCGGTCTTTGAGCAACTAGAGATCCCGTCATTATCTATTCGACCAACCTCCAGCCCATTGAAGGGGTTCGATGGCACAAGAGTAGATCCCCTTAGGGTAATAGACTTATCCGTAACTACGGTGAAGAGGACTCTGAAGAAAAACTTTGTCTTAACAGAGATCCATCCTTCCTATAATCTCATCATGGGAAGAGGCTGGATACACCGGATGAAAGGAGTTCCGTCCACCGCTCATCAGGTGATGCGGTGCTTATCTCTGGACGGAAAAGATGTTATTAACCTATGGGGCGATCAAGTCGTTGCGAAGGAATGCTATATGTTGACACAGACTGAAGCAAAGAAGGTGTCTAGACAGCCTCAACCAGGCGTGACTTCCAGAAATATACTCAAATAGCAATTACAGAGCCCTCTGCCCAAGTATCTTAAGGTAAAAGAAGAAGCTGCGAAACCTACCAATGAGATCCTCAAAGCCATAGAAGTTATCCTCGGCAACCCCCAGAAGGTCACTTATTTAGGCTCTTCCTCCACATCTGTAATACCCCTAATTTCAGAAGGATAGTCCTGGTATTTAATAAATTGTTTAAATTGCATTTATTTTTGTTTAATGGGTTAGTTGTTAATTTAATTGAATTATGTGATTTATTTATGTGTTCTTATTTGTTTTATTTATTTTATTTAACTGACATTTGTTTAATTATGTGCTTATGTGGCTATTTTAATAATTGATAATTATTGGTTTAAATTAACTGTTGTCTATGTTTTTTTCTACATAGGTTATTGTAAGGTTGTATTTTTTTTTTTTATTTGAAATTCTTACGTGTGTAATTAGATTAAATGAGTAACAGTTTTAATATTAGAAATTGGGGTTTAATTCCTTTTAGATTACACGAATGGGCTGACTAGGGTTTAATTTACATTAGGGTTCTGGCTCTAATCATACAAGGATTAGGGTTTTGGTTCAAACCTATATATATATAGAGCAACAAGTCTGCTAGGGTTAGAGAAAACCCTATTCACATACTTAGTATATTGAGAGAAAACATAGTAAGGTTGTGAGAGGCAGAGAGGAACCGAGAGTGGAATTTGGGTGATTAATAAAGCAGTTCAAGGAGGAATGAACGTGGTTGTTTCCGGGTAGAACCAAAGCACCGGAGGTGTAGAACTACAGCCTAGGACTTTGACGAAAACTCAAAGATGGAGGTTTAAGATTTCTGGACTTAAATCTAAAGCAAGTCTTTGTTCTATTCTTTCCTTTTAATTTGTGTTCTGTGCATGCCTAGCTAGACTCCAGGGGTTTAACTAATGATAAAACGAAATAATCATGCATGCTTAACGGACTAAAACTGAGAGTTTTATGGTTATATATACTTGTGCATGATTTCATTATTTTCTTAGATCTTTATGTATGATTTGTGGTTTAACTTGAATCTTTGCCTACTAAAACACTTAAAATAATTTAGTATGGACGTATGAGACTTAGGTTGAAGCTTAGGGGCCTTAACAATGAAGTTTAAGGGTTTACAGAGGCTGAACGGACGAAGAAGAAGACCTCAGCACAAACTGAGGCACCTAAGTTCGCAACTGAGGCGCCTAAGTTAGCAACTGAGGCACCTAAGTTAGCAATTCAGCCCCCTAAGTTAGCAACTGAGGTTGCTCAGTTGTAACTTAGCTTACTCAGTTGGGATTTTTGGTTTTAAACTCCCAGTTTAGGTTTTGTGCACTGTTTGGACTACACAAAGTGTTAGCACTTCGTTTAAATTGTCTTAAATGATGTATATTATTGTTTTAGACCTGTAAGAATATAGGTAAACAATGATTCATAAATGGATTAAGGTATGGACAGTGTACAGTTAGGGGAAGATCCTACATGTTGAACTTTGAATGTTAATCAGCTTACACTTTGGAACTTGGAGGATTGTTTATATGTCATTTAATTTTAATTAATCATATTTGGATAGGATTATAAGTAACATGGATTACTTGAACTTAACCATGCTTGTGTTGGATCAAATTAATATTCACTTTGTTATTCAACTGCATCAGTGTACGGATATTTTAGAGGATGTGAACGCTTATACTTGTTTTAGCTGTATACATTATTGGAATTGGATTTTAGGCTCTATAATGACTGCCTAATATTGTTGGATATGTGTTAATTTATATTGATGCATGTTATGAAGGGTGGTTGTTGGATATATATAGTGTCGTTTTATTAACTATGCTATCTGGAGGATTGTATGCATCGGTATGGGACGGTAACATACTAGGGACGGATTAGTTAAAAATACTAAGTCCGACCTATTTGGAAAAAAGTTGGATTAACAATAAAAGTTAAGTCCTACTTATGTATGTGCATATGCACTGGTATGGGATGGTGGCATATTAGGGACGGCTTAGTTCAAAACACTAAGACCTACCTATTCTAGGGATGGATTAGTTCAAACACTAAGTCCTACCTAATCTGGATTGAGGTATGAATTAACCATAAAGGTTAAGTCCATCTCATACTTGTGTCATATCAATTGAGAATTGAATGACCTACTATGGTTTCAGGATGGATTTGTTATACATATATCAGACCACTACACAAATGGATGGTATTTTGTATTAGGAGGAGTACGGACTTTATATATATATATTATATGGTGCCGTGGTATGAGCTTGAGTCTCATGATCATGGTTAGGGCGCGTATATTGTCTAGGATGGATAACTGGACATAGGTGTTGTTCCCTGGTAGGTTTAGGTACTCATGCCCACCTTAGGGTGCGTATTTGCATGTTGCCTTCTATTCAGGCACTAGCGAACGTCCTATAGTGTGTACAATATACATATATGGACTACTCTAGCTATTGTTGAGTCTTCCTAGGATGTATCTACGTATTGGATTACTGTTGGATTGTAGTAGATCAGGACTTACATGTGGGCCTGACCCACTCCTTTATTTTTCATGTATTCGTCAGTTCCAGGGTTAGAGCTTGGACATACAGAGCAGATATAGATATTCATTCCTCCGACTACGTAGGACTACTCTATATGTTTAGCTTTAGTTTTTAGTTCAGTTGTTTCAATTTTAGTTTGGGCTTTTATTAGGGGTCCACTGGATGGATTCCTGAGTTGTATGAATTGGAGGTTTCGGGAAGTTTGGTTTTAATGATTAATGACTGAGGTTGTTTTTATTTAGTATTCGTTCAGCATTATTATTTATTTCTTTAATTCATTATTTTTGTATTCCGTGTTCGTTTTAACATATTAATTGTTCGATATCCCTCGGGTTTGGGCCTGGGCCTGATCAACCTGCGTCTCGGATTTGAGGGGTATCACAGTTGGTATCAGAACACTCCAGGTTCAAGTGTCTCGAGGGTGTTTCATATTAAGTCTTCCGCGTAGCGTTTTCTCTTGATTAGAGCTGAAGTTTAGGATTCGTTGAATTCCTTTACGGTACGTACGTTTAAAAAGTGCTGATGTCAATCTTATTCTGTAATTTTAGAATGTTTGGCACTAGAAGAAAGTTATGGTCCGCGATGAAAGCAAAGAGGGACCAGAAGAGGAGGAAGGTTACTCCAACGATTCCTCTGCGACGGCCGACCAAGAAGGTAAAGCTGGAGACCAAGAACTTGTATCAAGTCAGTGTAGTCTCGGAGTATAAGGCAAGGATGGTTTCTTGTGTGCGGGATTGGCCACCATACTGTGGACCGAACACAACTTCGGTGGTGCTCAAAGCTGAGCCAAGCGGAGAGGAAGACCCCGAAGAAGCTCAGGATTGAGGAGATACCGGAGCGTCCAAGATGGAGGTTACCAGAGTTCAAGAATAAATGCTCTTCTAGGAATGATATGAATTTCATTACTAGTAGGAATGGAAGGGTTATTTAAAGAGTAGTACTGTTTAGATGGCATACACTAGTTTTGTTAAAGAATATTTTATGATTATTCTTTTGAAAGTTTATGATTTGGAAAAGTTTTAATAAAGTAAACTAGCGGTTTTGGCTATCTCTTTTGTAGTTTATGATGGTATTGTTGGATTTATACACATATGGTTTTATTAGACTATATTAGAATGTGTATGTTGTGATAATAAATGACTGTCACAGTGGAGTGATTAGTTTGGACAGGCAAACAAGTATTTGCGTACATGTACGTTGTGTTGAGACGGGACGATTTTCCAGAAGCTTATACAAGAGCTTGTGTAAGTCAATATGGTAGGTTTGGTTTAGAAGGAGGAATTCCCATGATAGAACGATAATCTAAAAATGGGAAGATTATGGAGCATTTTATTTTTACCTTATGTGTTTTACTCTACGGAGTATTCAAAAACATGGGATTTTCATGGATTGGGTGGTGACACACATATGCAATAGACCTCAGGATATTTTTACACTGTTAGGCAATACTGCCATTTTTTATGAGAGTGATGGGCCTGTGACACTAGATATTGGTAGACTCAGATTTCTAGCAAATCTACTGGTCCTGGACATGCACACTTATGATGTGATACTTGGATGGATTGGTTATCACTGCCATGCTCAAGTTATTTGTTTTGGAGGGGTTTATTGTGTTCACCATAACTGGTTAGGATATGTATGTTGTAGCTATACCACGTTCTAAGGGGGGGTGGTAGCACCTATTTATTTCATGTGGAGGAGGAAACGGAGGAGGGGGTTACTGTATCTTTGGATAACTTACCAATTGTACAGGATTTCCCGGATGTATTTCAGGAGATTTTAGGGTTGCCGCCTAGTCGAGAGATCGACTTTGTGATAGACTTAGCTCCAGGCACTACGCCTATTGCTAGGGCACCGTATAGGATGGCACCAGTAGAGATGTGAGAGCTAAGAAATCAGATTCAGCAGCTACTCAGCCAGGGTTTTATTCGTAGAAGTACTTTACCCTGGGGAGCACCAGTTTTGTTTATGAAGAAGAAGGATGGTTCACTTCGGCTGTGTATAGATTACAGGGAGTTGAACAAGGTTACTATTCATAACAAGTATCCGTTACCTAGGATTGATGATCTTTTTTATCAGTTAAAGGGAGCTACGTACTTCTCTAAGATTGATCTGCGGTCTGGATATCATCAACTTCGGGTTCGGGAGTAGGATATTCCGATGACAGCGTTTCTTACTAGATATGGATCTTATGAGTTTCGGGTGATGCCGTTCGGGTTGACTAATGCACCAGCGGTTTTCATGGACTAAATGAACAGAGTCTTCAGGGCTTATTTAGATCAATTTGTCATTGTCTTCATAGATGACATTTTGGTTTATTCTAGGTCTGAGGACGATCATGCTAGACATCTTCGGATTGTGTTACAGACACTTCGTGAGCACCAATTATATGACAAGTTCGAGAAGTGTGAATTTTGGCAAAGGGAAGTGAAGTTTCTGGGTCACGTGGTGTCA